CAGGTCTAGCAATCTCTCCATCAGCTGGGACCTGCGACAAAACAGCACCGAGCTCATCCAATGAAGCATCGGTTGAGAGAATAAATGGCCTCTCAAAATCAGGATGTGCCAACACCACACAGTTGAGGAGTGCAGCTTTAAGGTCTCCAAACGCTTTCTCACAAGCTGGAGTCCAGTCCTGGGGAGTTAGAACACAAAATGTTCCAGCTTTCCCATGCCCTTTGCCCTTCACTTTACGTTTCTGGCCTGCGGTGAGGGCGTAAAGTGGCTTTGCGATGCGGGAACAAGCTGGAATAAAGTGCTGATAGAATAGCACCATACCCAGGAATGACCTCACCTTCTTCTGGCATGGAGTGCAGCCATCCTCCTTCATGAGGTCCTTTTTGTCAAACCCAGAGATGACCCTTACCTTCTCCTGATCAACAGAAACACCACCAGCCTCCACAACATGGCCCAAGAACCTCACAGACCTCCTGAGAAAGTGACACTTTTTCTGGGCCAGCTTCAAGTTGTTAGCTCTCAGGCGACAGAAAACAATCTCTAGCCTCTTTAACGATTCCTCCTCAGAAGGTGCAAACACCAACAGGTCGTCCAGATAACAGAGGAGGCTGGAAAAGTTCAAGTCACCAAAAACGTTGAGCATCATCCTCATGAAGGAAGCCGGGCTGTTGCATAAACCTTGTGGGAGACGGTTGTACTCATAGAGTCCAAGCGGCGTGGTAAAAGCTGTATAATGTTTGTCAGACTCATGGAGAGGGATGTTGTAGAAACCAGAGGTCAAGTCCATGGTGCTGAAAAGAGCATTCCCACCAAGAGCAGCGAGGCAGTCAGACTGATGGGGTAATGGATGAGCATCCTTGATGGTCTTAGCATTAAGCCAGCGGAAGTCAGTGCATATCCTCATGTCCCCAGACTTTTTCCACACCATAACAAGTGGGGAGGCATATTCACTAATAGACTTCCTTATGATACCCTTCATCTCCATCTCAGACAAGACCTCCCTCAGCTGCTGATAATGTGCTGGTGGGATGCGTCGATAAGGCAAGCGAAATGGCTGGTCATCAGTCAAGTGAATGCGATGGACAAAATCCCTAGCCTCACCACAGTCCAGTTTCCCCCTGGAGAACACATCCTGGTAAGAAACCACAAGTTCAGCCAGCCTTCTTTTAGTCTCACCTGACACCTCACAGCTCTCTATGTCGATGTCATGTAGACCACAATCTCTCAGCATCTGTGCTGGATCAGCACTGTGATGTGATGAGCTTGCTGAAACAGCAGAATGGTTGCAGTACACTTCAGATCTCCCCTGACTAAACGCAAAGTCCTCCACAGCAACACATGGGAAGACATCAGCGATTTTAGCATTGCGGCGCAGTTCTAGAGGTTTGTCTGTTGGGTTGAGAACCTTCATAGGGACCCAACGATCCCCCCACATGGGTGTTACTACACGACCCACCAAAATGTTTTTTGGAGTGGAACGAGCAGATGATGGCTCAACGACCACAGTGCCCCCTAATGACAGTGGTGAGGTGGGTGGAAGCTTCCCCCAAACCACATACTCCTGACGAGGAAGGAGGGTGACAGCCTGTCTGAGCCTGACCGTTCCAATCTTGTCAGGTAAAGTAGAGTTTGACCACCGAGAAACACAACTCAGCAGCTGCAAAAACTCCTCACACTCTGGGTTTGCAGTGTCTGATGTAATGAGTTCCCAGTACCTCGAATCAGTTTTCATTCTTTGAATAAGGGGCCGGAGCACATTGCTACCAATGATGAAGTCATCATGTTGGCCAGGTATCAAAAATGTCGGTACTGTAAATTTGAAGCCATAGATCTCAATGTTCAACTCATAGATGCATCGAGGCTGCGTGAGAAGGCCACCACACCCGACGAGCACCACATTATCTGGGACTGCAAGAGGGATCAAATCAACACCCGCGGCTCTTAGTTTGCTCTCTGCCTCCACGCTCAATGTGCATGACATACTCCCAGAGTCCAACATACCCCTCAGTGTAGATCGGTCACTCACTGAAACTGAGGCATAGAACAAATCACTAGCCCTCTGAACTCTTTGTGACCCCAAGAAAACCACATCACTGTTCTCAGGTGAAGCGTTACAACACTCTGTATAAATAGAGTGTGCATCTAGTGCATTTGTGAGGGTATTATCCACACTGCCCATGCCGCCCCTCTCATCACACGGGCTCTCTAGTTTAAACTAGGGTACTGGGAGGACGGCTGCGGTGTTTGATGAGCAGGCTGAGGACAATCCCTTTTAATGTGTCCTGAGCCGAAGCAGTTGAGACACAGTCTGAACAGTCTGCAGTGTGAATGTGTTGTATGCTCCTCCGAGCAACAAACCCTACATGGAGCATGCTGAGGACGTTTAGAACCACGTGTGTAACTCCCCATATGCTGACCATGTTGTTTTGTAGCAAGAGAAGCTGCACACAAAGACAGAACTTTATCAAACATCTCTGCCATCTGATGAGGTGGTTCGACTCCTGAACTGGAAGAAAAAGTTGGCTTGGGTAGACCTGCGTTCTGAAAGGGAGTCGGTTGTGGAGCAACATGCTGCTGTGGCTGCTGATATAAGGGCCCTGAAGCTGAAGAACGATCACATGCTAAAGCAGCTTGGGGATAACGGACAGCAAATGGTGCCACATCGGCTGGCAACGCAGCACTGGGTGACTGAGCACCAAGCTGAGGAAGACAGGAGAGAACAGCAGGGCCTGTAGATGAACCAACAGCCCTGTTCGTAGTAACCATTGGCTTCCTAAGGCTCGCAACATGGTTATCAAGTCGGCTCTGGACCTCAGCAGCAGTCCACTCCTCAATAGGTTTCAGCTGGAAGGAAAGAGCTAGACCAGGATCAGGACAATGGTTGATGAACATTGTAACAACTTCAGCTCCTGGATCCTCCACCTGCTTCCCCCTTCTACGCAAACACTCATCAGCTGCTTCAATAGACTTGTTCAGTCGAATCCAGTAGTCCATGGCTGTCTCCCCATCAGCAGGCAGGATATTATAGAAGTCCCTCATTGGTAAACTGGAGAAGATCAGCTCACCAAAGTTGCGTTTCAGAATATCAAAAACAGTAGAAACTAACTTGTCACTACATGACTGAGGCTGGCAGCGAAGCGACACCTGAACCACATCTCTAGCTTTCCCAATAAGTCTGGATGTGATGATCTCACACATTTCTACAGGGTTCACACATCTTATTCTTGACAGATAACATCTCATCAAACCCTCCCATTCCTGGATGGAGAAAGTGTCAGTGTGGTCACCTTTGAAATATGGTGGTGCCCTGATATCAGACTGAACCACAAACCTTGTTTGTGACTGATCGGTCGGGTCGCTGGGATGGCTGTCAGCAACCTGAGATTGTGATTGACTTTGTGGGTTTAGCCCACTCAGGTTTGTTGTAATGGCATCCCCAATCTGCTTAGCCAAATCAGCAATCACCCCACTCAGAGCCTCAGTAGAAACAAGTTGGCTAAGGTCAGACCTTGCATTGCCAATGGGTGTAGAAGCAGCAGCAGGGACAGGTGGGGGGTTCAGCTCAGACTGATCAACAGAACATTCATATGCACTAGAAGGCATAGGCCTACCCCTTCCAAAAGACATGTAATGTTGGCCCCTCCCCAAACTAAAAGTAACCCTCCGGTCCACTTCATCACCCTTAGAAGGGACGTCAGTGTCACACATTTTGTCAAACAGTAACAGAGAAACACTATTAAAAAGAACAATACGTCAGTCAGCAAAAAAAAAAAAAACAACTTATCTACAGGCAAAGGATAATAAACAGACTGGTTTCTTGTCTTCAAATTTGTTTTTTTTATTTTTTATTCATACAATTATGTACTGTTTCAAAATTGTTTATTTTCCCAAAACAATAAAAAAAATTGACAAAATTAAAAATATGTCGTTTTTCACTTACTTCCCTTGTATAAAACAAGGTACACAAAACAGAGCAACAGAAACTTGACTTTGTTGCCAGGATACAGCAAACCAACGCCTGCCAGTCAAAGCGCAGGGCAAAGACGCGCGGCGCAGCGAAGGCGGAGCCCAGACATCAAAGGTGGGAAAGGCGCAGCGGAGCAGCAGCTTCAGCAGCGGAGATTCGACGATACAGCGGGTCAAACGGCACCAAGTGTAACCGGATCCTTTTCTGCGTTGTGCTGGTTATTGAGTGAACAGGCCGTGAC